GCAATTAGACCTAAGCCAAACTGATCCTCAAGAAAACCCTACATAATGTAGAAAGTTTTTCATAAGAAAACTTTATGTTATGGTTTCTAACAATGAATGGAAATTGGAAGAACTAGCTTATCAATTGACACAGTTGATCAGTTGTCGAAAGCCAAAGTACATATAATTAGCAATCAATTTCCATGTGTAACTAAAGCAAATAATAGAATTGTGATGATATTTATGTAGCACCGGATGCCTCCTAAGATACAATGCAGAATACATTATCAAGGATCTGTCCAAACCTGAAGCGCACAATAATTGCTCAATGAATGTAGAAATTCCTCACTTGCATTCTCTGTAATCATTTTAGACATAGCATCTGGATTTGGGTTAAGAATCTGCAAGAGCACAAACAAGGAAAAAGAATTAGTCAAAATAATGATCCACCTGATATGAACCTTCAAAAATGCCATTTGACAAACTGGCTTTATCACCTTTAAATTGTAATTGTTGACAGTACCTGAGGTATGCATCCAACAATTCGTTCTAGTTGAATATCATTAGCTCTACAATAAGATAGCAGATCTGATTCATGAAACTCTACCCTGTCCAGCAAAGTTTTCTTCTCAGCATCATAGATGGGTTGACCTTTTTCATCCAAAGCATTTAAGTACAAGTTTATCCATGACATCTTTACTGCTCTAGGATTGATATCAAGGCCGTACACCTGAAAAAGGTAGTTTCTTCATCAGTAAGAGAAGCCGAAAAGGCAAAGGATATACGTGGTAAAGTAAGACAAACAAACACAAAATTACCTTCGACGGCAGCCACTTCTCAGCAATGGCAATGGATATCCAACCATTTCCACAACCAAGCTCAGCAACTGTCTTGTCCTTGAAGATAGAATCTGAATGTCTATTTAGTCCTTCAAAAAAAGTAAAGGACCAGTCTTCTGGAACAAAAATACTAGGGATAACCATCATTGTCAATTTCTTCCTACCCTGGTAACCTGCAGTAGCCCAATAACATTTGACAAGCATGGTAAGCAGATATTTGTGTAGCCATTGATGATTGCATAATACATGAAGTATTAAATCCAACCATGATTTCAGATAAATATATTCAACAACCACAATAAATATTTTATAAAAAAAAAACATGTCCATACAAAAGCACTATCCTCATCATATACAAGAATTTTAATTGTTCAGAACTTTCCTGTTCTATTCTATCTTAAGGTCATCTTATAACTCAATAAGATTCAGAAAGACAAATCTTTAAAGATATGTGCGTATGACATTATAAATTGTTTGGTTATCCTACATCTAGAAATAGAAAATTTGTAGTTAACTGAGTGAAAATGAGTCAGTGGAGAAGGAAAAAAGTGACTTGGTTTCCCAGTTTGTTCAGAAAAGAACCAATCAAGGAATAGGATTGGTAAATGAGAAAACGACGAGTAAAAGCAAAAAAGAATCCAAAAAGCCCACAAATTGATACACGCACCCAAAGTAAAAGACAGTGACAGACAACAAATGAAACAATTGTAGTAATTTAGATAATTGGATTCAAAGGATTAAATATTCCATTTCTTCCATTTTCATTCCCTCCATTTTCTCAGCAACCAAACAGGCGACGATACAGCAAAGAAAAAAAAGAAATTTGAATGGGAGAGAGAGAGAGAGAGTGTGTGCATGTTACCTTCATACTGATCGAAGAAGATGTCTTCAATCTGAAAATGGTAGGTCCGGAAGCATTGATCGCAGGCTTCCTTGGAGGGGAAGCGATTCTGGAGGTCCGTGAGGAAGATCCGAGCTTGAGTTCGGGTCTTGGGATCCTCGAGACGATCCAGTACTGATCTCAAGGCGCCGTATGCGGCATCGCCCGACTGCTGACACCGCTTCAGGAAGTCGTCCACCGATCCTAACGGCACGTCGTTCTTCGCCATTACCACTCTCTTGTTCCTGCTTCCTGCCTGTCGCGAGGTTTCTGTAGGTAGAAGAACGAAGATAGAGAGTGAGATAGATAATGTGTTTGTATATATAGGGGATGGAGTGAGTGGGATTTGATTGTTTATTCTTAAGGAAAAAAGCTGCCAAAGCAAAGTAGAACGCCGGTGAAGGTTGTTCCCGGTTTTTCGTCATGGCCTATTAATATTAATATTAATATTTTGGTTAGACTTTGACCAAGATATTCTCTTTTCCTTTTTCTTACACGTCAAAAATAAATTAAGAGAATTAATATATCAATCAACTGCTAGTCCTCGTCCTCCTAGCACGCTATCGCGCGCTAATTGGCTTATTTTTTCACTTCTAATAATTATTTATACAGATATTCTTCAGAGTGAATTCACATAAAAATAAGAAGAAATGAAAAATACATGTTTGGGCCTAGATCCTTTCGCTTAGAGCACTTCCAGCCATTGCCTCCAATCAGAATCAGGGCAGGACAGGGCCCAAGGCCAGGCGACAGCTTCCAGCGGGCCAAGCTTGCCCGGGCAAGCTGCGGGTCCCACGAAATCGGGCTGGCCTAAACGCAGAACGAGCATGTGCTCCAGCTCAAGGGCGAGCTGACTTCATGATTGACACCAGCCTAATGTCAGCACACATGGTTAAATTTTTTTACCGTTGGTGCGTGCATTTCAAGCCCCAACAATAAAAAAAGTTTAAATTTCGTGCGCTAGCATCAGCCCTTCTTTTCCACTAACAGCTATAAGCCACGTGGCAGCCTCTAGGATCTTCGATCCAGTTTTCTCCTCCAATTCAATGGCTGCCTTTTTTTTTTTGCATTAAAATTTTGAAAAAAATTTGAAAAATTATTTTAAAATAACCAAAAAATTCTGGATTTTTTTTTATTATTTATTTATAAATACCTACCAATATTCTTCACTTTCAACACCAAATCCTCATACATTTTCTTCTCTTTCTATAAAAAATTCTCAAAGCCGGAGGGACGTGGACAACCATGGAAGATGTTCTGTTGTGCGAGTGTTGGGTCCAAATTGGTCATTGTCTGATCACGGGCAATGAGATGAAATTCTCTCATATGTGGAGAACAATTCATGCCGAAATTTGTGAAAGATCGAGTTCAACTCGTACGAAAATGGCCTTGTCTAGAAGGTGGAAATTTTTGAACAAATAGTTGCGGAAATGAAGAGATGCGTTGGCAAAAATGAGGGACAACCATTGAAGCGGGGAAAATCTTAGCAATGAGGTAAATTATTTGTAATTTCCATTTTATTAATTTTAATGTCTTAATTTTTTTTTTAATGTTTCTTGCATTTCCAATTTTTTTTTAATGTTTCTTGCATTTCCAATATTTTTGTAATGTTACTTGCATTTCTAATATTTTTTAAATATTTCTTGCATGTTCAATATTTTTTTTATTGTGTCTTGCATTTCCTATATTTTTTTTTAATAGATTTCGCAAACACAAATGTGGTTCGGTGCCATTGGGAAAGGCAAAAAATCTTTCAACCATCAACAATGTTGGGAGGTGGTGAAAAATTGCAAACGATTCAAAATTATTCCCACAGGTCCGACCGTTGTGTTGAACAAGACGCCACTCCATGATTCAACGGCATTAGATTCACATTTGGATTCCCCGATGAGTCAAGACTCACCAATCCAAAAGGAGCCGAGGCTTATTGGTCAAAAAGCGGTGAAGACGAAGAGATGGAGTACTTCCAGCAATGATACTGCAAAAATTTTGGAGCAAATTACAAGGAACGGCACCATGAGAATTGAGTTAGACATCAAAAAAGATGCGGACGCGAAGACAATGAATGAATAATATGCAAGAGAAAAGGAGTATATACGCAAACAAGACATTGAGAAGAAGGATCGGGAAACCATGGCCATGGATACAAGCCATATGTCTCCTAAAACAAAACAATTTTGGAAGTTAGAACAAAGGGATGTTATGAGAAGAAGACTTTTCCGTGACGATGGACCTAGCAACGCCGATTGGTTAAATTATCAAAACCATTAAGTTAGTTTGCTTGCCTTTTATTTAATTGTATTGCTTGTTTTGTATTAAATTAGTTGTAATTCTTGTGTTTTATTTAATTAGTAGTAATTCTTAATTAGTTAAATTGCTTTTCTTTGAGTGAATAAAGAAATCATTCAATAAAATACATTTTTATTCAACACATTGCATACATCAAACAAAACATAATTATAAAAAAAAAAAAACCACAACCAAAGCATAATTAAAAATAAACCACAACCAAAGCATAATAAAACATCAACACAAAGAAAAATTAAAAATAAAGCATCTTCACTTCACTTCATTCACCGTCATTGCCTCTCACCGCCCATAAATGCTCCATCAAGTCAACTTGACGTCGTTCATGAATATAAGGCGATTGCATCTTCATATATTGATCAATCATACGGTTCATGAAACGACCGTCCCTGACCAACAGTTCATGCTCCAATGGTTGTCCATTTGGGCCCATGGGCCTTTCCTTAAATTCTTGTCTAGGGCGTGTTCATGGGATCCGGTTCGAACACGTCTGGAGCATCATAATCATACTCATCCTCCACAATCATGTTATGGAGGATGATGCACATCATCATAATGCTTCTCAGCACCTCCTCATTAAACATATGCACAACACCCCTAATAATTGCCCACCGAGCTTGGAGGATACCAAAGCATCTTTCGACATCTTTCCTGTAACCCTCTTGATAGGCAGAAAATAATTTTTCCTTCTCGGATCGAGGATGCAGAATTGATTTGACAAATGTGGTCCACCTCGGGTAGATGCCGTCTGCTAGATAATACCCCTTCCAGAAGACGGTATTGTTGATTTCATAGGTGATATTCAGGGCTTCACCTCTTAAGACATCGTTGAATACAAGGGATTGACCCAGCATGTTCAGGTCTTTTTGAGATCCGGCAACTCCGAAGAATGCATGCCAAACCCATATATCGAATCTAGCAACGACTTCGAGGATGATGCTTTTTTGCCCTTTCCTATTTCCATAATCTCTTTGCCAGGCAGTTGGGCAATTCTTCTATTGCCAGTGCATACAATCGATGCTTCCAATCATGTCTGGAAAACCTCGAGCTTCGGCTTTTTGTAAAAGCCTTTGGAGGTCCCTAGGCGTAGGTTTGCGGAGATAGTCTCTGGTGTAGAGAGTTTCGATTGCATCACAGAATCTGACCAAGCTCTCTAAAGTATTGCACTTCCCCATCCTAGCAATCTCATCCACCTGATCAGCAGATGCACCATACGCCAGCATTAGTATGACAATTGTAAGCTTTTGCTCCTGAAGAAGCCTAAAAACCCTAGCAACATCACACTTCCGAATGAAGTATGCATCGTAATTGTAAACATCATGGATGACTTTATTGAACAAATGGGGTTGCATTTTATATCGCCCTCGGAAATCAACATTATAGTACACATAATTTGGGATAAAGTAATCTTCCAAAAGATTCTTACCCCGAGAATGCCTATGTCTATCCAAGTTCGAGCCACGACCCTCTTGTGAACCACGGTGGCGGCCTTGCCTTGATAGATCGAGCATACCTACTGCCATGACAACTTGTTCATCATCTTATTGCTGCACCCTTTTTTCTTCAGCTCGTCTACGCCTTCTTTCTTTAATTTATCGACCATGCCTCTCCAAGCATCTCCTCATGTCTGACATTGAGAGTGGAGTATGAAATCTAAAATCTGAGAAATGAAAGGATAGAGAAGATTTGGTGTGTGACGTATGAGCTGAGCCTCTGGTTTTATAGAAAAATTTAGAAGATAGAGATGACACATGGCGCAATTTTAGAGGGTGAAAATCTTATCTGAAATATGAGATTTGTATCTTATAATAAATATCGACACGTGGCACTCGAGAATCTTATCATAAAATCTTATTTGAAATTTTAGATTTGTTTTTTTTTAATAAATATCGACACATGGCAACCGAAAATTTTATCCGAAAAATTCATTCGAATTATGAGATATGAATTTTATAATAAATATTGACATGTGGGAACCCAAAATCTTATCTGAAAATCTTCTCCAAATCAATTGTTTAGGTAAAAAAAATAAAAAATAAAAACGAAAAGTGAATAGTATTTGCCATTTGCCATAGCAATGAGTGGAAACACACCTCGTTTTTGCAATGGCTGCCACTATTCACGTGAAGAAAGATCGATGAAATAAGGGTCCATCACTAATCAAACAAATCAAGCCCAATGACTACTCATATGCACCATTTAACCTTTTATCATGTAGTTCATAGTTTTTAATGTTTTTCTTTAGAAATTAGTGTAACTCTCGTTAAAGAGAACTTAGAAACCATTCTGAGTTCTTGGGCATTCCTTATTTTAATCATCCATTTCATATATCAACAAGATTTTCCTTTTTACCGTTTATAAAGTCAATTTTTGAGCACCACCCAATCCATCTAAATATCTTGAGACGCCTGCATTTCTTGAGCTATCTGAACCCATTGAGCTATCGAGCTTGGTGATACTATGCAACCATCATCTCATTCTAAAGGCCTTGTGGTCGAGGCCTAGAATCTTACGATGAAGAATTTGTTCCTATCTAAGCCATAATCGCTAGAAAAGAAGTCAAGATCATGGTACTACTTGCGTGTTTATTTAAATGATTAAGTTTTAAGCAATTTAGGGTTCGTTTGATAACCATTTCAATTTTAGTTTTTATTTTTTATTTTTTATTTTTTGTGCTAGAATATAGAGGAAAAAGAGGGAGGATAGAAGTGAGAATGAGAATGCAAATGAGATTGGGAGGGAAGATGAGAGGGGAAGATAGAAGGGAGGAGTAACAAAAGTAAAAACTGAAATCTATTTGAAATTGTTTTCACTTTCAAGTTTTTGTTTTCACTTTTGTTACTACTCCCTCCCATCCTCCCCTTTCAATTTCATTTTCACTCCCATTATAACTTTCATTTTCCTCTATACTCTAGAAGAAAAAAAAAAAAAAAAAAAAAAAAAAAGAAAAAAAAAAAAAAAAAAAAAAAAAAATAAAACTAAAATTGAAATGGTTATTAGACGTGTTCTTAGTTAATGGAGGATATTTTTTGGATTTTGAATGTTTCACATTTGAGACTTCTCTTAAGGCTTTATTGTGTCATTATTTCAAACTTTTAAGGCATATATTTTTACATAAATAATTCAATCCAGTTGGAATTTTATGACTTTTTTAAATTTTATTTTCAATGCATTCTTAGGTCATCTTATGCAGTTTTTGCAATTTAGTCTAAGTGTGAGGCTGAAGCTGCTTTGTCATTAGGTGATAAAGCAGCAACATGCGAGCAGACAGTATATTGACAAAGACAAGCATGCTGCATGTGGTTTTTGAGTAGCACAATTATACAACAAAAGATGAGATGACCAATAAAAAAATGTCTAACAGCATATATTCCTTTGCCTTTATTTGATTGTGTTCCTTTAGGCCTTTTTTTGATTGGATTTCTTGACGCATTAGAGTTTGTTTTGGTCAATTCCGTACGCTTCAGTCGTTCGTCCTCACACACACACACACATAAAAAGGAAAAGTTGCACAGAACATTGCTTTTAACTGATAACGAATTCCATAAATAAAGTCATTAGCTCATATTATTATATAAGCTATCATGTAAAATATTTCCCGTCAAGTCCCAAAGGGAGCCCACTCATGACATCTCTCATGAGCCTTCTGCGTGAGTGAGTGATTGTTTCCTATTTCCACTTTGTCCTTGTTATCATCACGTTCAACTCGTTTACAATTAACTAGTTCTAGTCACGTTAGCTTTATTCCACACTCATGTTAGACTAGGGTCTCATGACTTGTAGCTTGTAAGTTGTAATTGCAAGTTTTAAAATCCAAGAGACAGCAGGCTAGTTCATTACATTATTTGATACACCATCTATGCAACTAAAGTTTGTTTTTCTGACCTCTAAAGACTATACTTGATTCTAGCTACTACTACAAGTAATCATATGCTCTAATAACACTTGGGATGGCCCATCATCCTTCTTTCCAAGTGGCTCCCTTGGCTATTTTGAAATATGGTTTTTTTACACACACTAGGATACCTTAGAACAAAGCCTACAAGAGCCCTATCACTTTTATAAACCAAACCAACCAACACAATCAAACTTAACCACCAATCAGCAATCCAATTTTATGCAGAAGCCTTCTCACTGAGAGAGAACTGCAGTAGTTTTTGTTATGGCAAACCAAACTATTTATCTGTTTCCAAATTGTAGATATGAAAATTGGACAAACTCTTAGGAATATGGGCAATAAGACCATCATGAGAAATAGGAGAAAGTACTGCGGACATGTCTGTTACTTGCAGCCAAATTTTTGTGCAAAAATGCAACCCGGAAAAGGCGATTAAATCTTTTGTAGGCTTCTTATTTTATGCTCGTACTGATCCTTACCTTATGCCATGAAAAGATATAATAGACATGGGAGACCACCCGTCTAGTAAAAATGGAAAAGAGCATATTTAAACAGTGTTTTTGTGAGAAACAAAGCCTACTTGTTTTAATTGCTTATTAAACTTCAACATGCCTACTTCATAAAAAGACTTGGGCTTCAAATCTACCATCCAAGAAGGCCAGAATGCTCTCAACCTTCAAACTTCAGTCGTCATAGAGCATTTAGGCTCCCAAATGAATTTCTCTCCTTTTGCCACTTGCAGGCTCCTTTGCATGCGGAACCACGACAATAACCGCAAACATAACTAAACTCAATCAACCACACACATAACCAAACACAATCATAACCCAAAATGAAAGTAGTTTAGAAGTAGAAGATGCAGGCAGTTCAAAGGCAAATAAAAATAACGAAACACGCGCTTTCAACTGATGCAATCTTCAAATGTAGCCATTCAAGGAGTAGCAACAACATCTTAAAACTCTGTAGAATAAAATTCATCGCCTTCAAGTTCTTTAAGGCCCTTGTTAACTTAAAACATTTTATTGAAATATCAACCAGATAAGGAGCAGAGAAATACAAGAAACTCCAAACTCTGTTCCCCATGCTGAGCTGGAGCACCCATCTGCAATATCAGCTATTTATCAAATAAAGAAGATGCAAGACACATACATATTTTTTGAATGCATTAGAGAAACCAAGTAAGATCTCTTTCTCTACTTTAGCTTGTGAGCACTAGCTTTCTCAGGTCCCATTTAAAATACCTAGACACCATTATATAAAGAGGCTAGTCTTCTCTTAACTTATCATAGGCAAATTTCGCTGATAGAAAAGAATATGTAATTGTCCACATATGTGGTTATGTTGTATGCTATTTATAATAATGAGTTACAAGCATTCGACTCTTGTAAACCACAAGTCACAAGATTCACAACCACAAAACATATACAAGCCAACTCAGTGAAATCTTAATCAAATTGTGACTAAAAAGGAAGCTAAACAAACCAAAAGTAGATGATACCAACTTTACACCAGCGCAAAAAATGTGAAGGAAAAAAAAAATACCTACAAATGAGTACCATCTTTCCTTACAAGTACTTGTTACCTATTTCCTTGTTCATCTGAAATACACAAACATGAAGATACATCTATATATATACAGGGTATTTATCTCCAATGGTCCTTGAAATTTTTAAAAGCCCTCATTTTAGTCCGCAAATGAACCAAAAGATTAAGCATAGATTGATTGATTTGAAAGTTTGAGGATTGAAATGAGGGTTTCAACAAGTTCAAGGATCATTCATGATAAAATCCTATATTTTCTATATATATTATGATCATTAAGGCCAAATTAGGAAGGCAAACATGAAAACATTGGCATCAGTGACTTGAATGAGGGTCTACTAATCTATGGCAAGAATGAAAACCTAATTGGACCGCAAATACCCTAAATTCATAATCTAAGAACCAATTTTATTCAAATTTTGTTTAGAAAATAGAAATGATTGCTAGATTATTCATTTTCAGCAGGAATTCCCTTAGCAATAAACGAAAACCATAAATGAAAATGATAAAAAAATATTGAGAGAAATAAATGGTTGGATCTTTGCTGACCTGCGAAATGAAGCTCAGTGAGTAGCAGAGGTGGTAGAGGCGGCATGAGAGTGAGAATGAGCGTGAGATGAGGAAACAGCAGAAGGAGAAATGAGGCGGTTGTAGACTTGCTCGCCGACGAGGTAGACGCCGAAGGCCACCAGAGCGATGCCGAGGCCGGGAGTGGCGTGGCGGAGCTGATTCGTCAGCATCGGGTGCTTCCTCCACTCGTCCCTCCTCCTGAAGAACTCCCCTGTCGTCCCCAGCGCCTTCTTGCTACTACTCCCCATCCTGTTTCTCTCTTCTTCTTCTTGCTTATTCTCAAAAGTTTTAGCTTTGTAAACTCTGATGATGAATGAATCTCCTCTCTCTCTCTCTCTCTCAAAACATATATATTCGGGGGTGGGCTTAGTTTGGGCTCTAAGTCCAATCCATAGAACAAATGGGTCCAATTTCAGGCCCATCAATGATCACCAAACCACCAACCATAATAGGAAATGAACAACTGGATTAGTGGTGTTTCGTCTCCAAGTTCAAGGAATATTGTAGGAGGGA